AACATGTAAGAGTGGGTTTGGGTTTCATCGAAGTCAAGTTGATAATCTTCTGACCAGAAGGAATGATATTTGAAGGATCAAGGATTGGGTTATACCGGGGGGGCGAGTCGCTAGAGCTGTAGTTCCCGCAAAAGCGAAGGCAATCCCCGGATAAGATTTACCGGTTAAAGGATGAGACGTTAGCGAACCTCAATTAAACATCAGGAAGGGTATGGGAAATTGAGCAACAGTACCTGGAGCAAGATGGCATCAGGAATGAAAGGTAGTACCGGAAAGGAGTCAAGGCGACGAAGGAGATCTGGTGGTGCAAGAACAAAATTGTATCGGCGAAAAGAAAATATGAAGAAGGTATAATACATCTTTTAAGCCCAAACATAAAAAAGTTTAGTGTAAGGGTAATAAAGAAAATAGTAGCGATGGCAAAAAACGGCGTATAACGAGATGGTAAAGAAATTGGACTTGAAAGAGTAAGATAATGTAATGTACAAATTAACAAAAAGCAAGGGTAAAAATCCGTGGACATTGGGGATATGAGCAACTTTAAAGAAGATAGCAAAATCTCACTCTTAAATAAATAAAACTTTTGAGGATACCATGTAAAACAATGTTTTGTTGAGCTGTTCTGATAACACATCTTTAGCCGAATTTTAAAAATATAAAAGGTAGATAGGAAGAGATATTTATGAAAAATGCAATAAATGGTATTAAAAGCTTTCGACAGTCAATCTTGAAGGCAATTTTTTAAGGATTGATTGAAGATAGAGGTGATGAAAATCTATTTTGCAATCTACGTTAATTCCGATCCAGATGTTCTTTGATTCAAAAATCTATACGGTAAGTTATATAAGCATTCACCAACTAGCCTATAGACGATTTTCAAAATCAACTATTTTTCTTTGATATATTATAATCATATGTGGCAAAAAAAGATCCAAAAAATGCTAAATTCAGATTTATTAGACGGTATCTCTTAAACCAACCACCTATGTCACAATAGCTCCGAGCCGGCAGATCTCTTATATTATATATAGTAATTATAAATAAAAAATAATGGTAAAAAGAAAAATTCAGCTTGAATTAGATTAGGCACATTTCTAAACTGAATTCCATTCTCATTATCTATTAAACCGTTATATACTACGCCCATATATAATAAGTGACTAAGAAATTTTTATTTATATGCATTTTAAAATTATCAAAAATAGCATATAACACAAGAAATATTTTTTTATTAAAATTCTATAAAGATTAAAATATAAGATGATAAAATTTTTTATTAATAGTATATCCATCAAAGCCTTTGATAGTCATAGTAGTACAAAAAGTGTTCTAATTTTTTAAAATTCTTTTATTTTTTAGGTATTTGTTATTAATTATTTTAAAAAAAAAATTATATCCTTTTTTATACATTATTATAAGTTTTTTTTAAAGTGGAGAGCTAAAATTTATTTTTGCACATAATTTAAAACAATGATAATGATAAAATTTCAAAATATTTTATTTCTAACGTTAAATTTTTTATTCATATATTTCAAATATAATATTAACAATTAAAAATTATAATATATCCTATAAAAACACAATACAAAATTATATTCAAACAAGCCACCAAAACGGGCAGTAATTATATTTAAATATATCAATTTGTATTTTTTTGTCATAGGCATTCTCCGGCCTCCAAAGTGTGGATTCGTATAATATGGGGCCAAGTAGAGGCAAAATTTCCACTAGTGGGTGTGGCAATTGGAGTAAAAATAAAGTTATCCGATGTTTTATATTTGCTTATTTTTTTGTTTCGGCTATTGCTAGATATTTGTGGGGAAAATGGTAACACAAGTATAATCCCATATGAGAGATTTACCCATAGCCAATGGGGTTAGTTGTGAGGTCATCATCTGTTGAAAGGTTTTAAAATATTGGGAATTCGAGCTATTTTTAGGAATAGAATGAAAAGTTAATTTAATGATCGATGATGCTGTTGACGACCCTGACTTTTAATATAATTTAACCCTTAGCGTTAACTGGTATGTTACAATTCAGGCAACCATGTAAATCATATGTGGAAATTCTTTTTGACACAAGCCCTGGCTCAAAATATTTTTTGCAATTTTCAAGCTCGAGCCTGGCCAAAAATATTTTTAAATTCTTAGGTCCTACTCAAATTTTTATTTTAAGTTCGAGCCCAGCCCAAAATTTTTATTTAAAAAATTATGAATCAAAAGCATTTTTATGAAAATAAACGAAGATTGTCTTGTCCTTATCACAAATAAATTCCAATTATTTATTTTGATAAAACATCATATTATATTATTATATTTTTTTAAATATTTTACAAGCTCGAGCCTGGATTGATTTTTAAAAAAATGAGGCCCAAGCTAGGTTCGGCCTTAAATATTTAAATAAGATTTAGAGCTCTACAAGGTCTAAGTGTGGGCACTATTTGTATGACTTAAGAGGAAAAAAATCATTCCGATATTTTTATAAAATATTAGGGTATAGTATGCATAATACACTGTTATTACCTCCAATTGGATAATTTATTATGAGAGGAATATGTATCGGTATCGATTTCAATGCATTTTGTATGGTTAACAACTCTGTATTTAAAAGACTAAACGATAAAAATTATTGCAGCTTTTAATGCACATGCCTTTTAAGTTTTAGGCCAATGATATTATAGCAATATATTTATATTGGTCCCAAAATTTGTATTTTAACAGAAGATAAATACCTCTATAACAGTGGCGTAGCTAGGAATTTTCCTTAGAGGGGGTCCATACATATAAAATCTGGGGGCTTCGCTTCCCAGACCCCCTTTAACGGGCCTTCGGCCCTTTTGCCCGGCCTTAGGCCGGGTTTACCTTACAAATCATAACTATATCTTCGATAATATATAATAAATATATTTTTTAAATGCATCATGTTATTATAATTTAGTAGATTATTCTCAATGACTTTATAATAATACTATCCAGAATAATTTCAATAGCATCCTTCCACAAACATCAAAACCAGAAAAATATAATTCATATAAAATCACTTTTAAGTCTTTTGAACGTATAATCTCAAAAAAAAATTTGCTCTGGGAGGGGTCCAAACCCGAAAACCACCCCCGTAGTTACGCCACTGCTATATAATTTTTTTTGAGTCTATAGATCTATATGAATTCATTAGTCTATCATCATATCATACTAATAAAAACAAAGAACGTGACTATAGGTAAATAATTTCCATATAAATGAATCTATTCTATTTTATAAGAATAAAAAGCATTTATGTGGATAAGAATATTTTATTTTTTGATTCATAGATCTAACGAGCAATTTGGGAACGGGTATACTAATAAAACAAAGAACGTGACTATAAATAAATAAATCTATTCTATTTTATAAGAATAAAAAGCATGTATGTGAATAAGAATATTTTATTTTTTGATTCAGAGATCTATCCAGCAATTATCTGGGAACGGGTGGTGGTGAGGGGGGATTATTAGGTGGTTTCCCCCATATATTTTATTGATATTCCCTTCAAAAATTCCGTCTAGTAGTAGGGCATATTATTAATTATCTTTTCATATTCCATAGTTTAAAAGATTCGATGATGGCCATTCTAAAAGAGTATCCTTCTATTAGGTACCCATTTTTAGTCAAATTCTTTATAAAAAATGGTGTCCCATCTTGCTGAAAATCATATCATATAAAGAAATAAGACAAGAATAATTAGGTTAAGATGCTGAAAGTATCTCTGAGAAATTAAGGCAAAATTTTTAACACCCTTGGACCAATAAATTCCTATATTATTATTATTTCTGTATATTTAAAGTTAATTTTAAACAACCTGGATGAAATTCTCTTGGTTTGGATTACATTATCGTTAACAATACCATATTTCACTTCAAAAATGTATCGAAAAAAAGATTACTTTATTCCATTATTGTAACTAGTGATATTATTAACAAGAGTTCATTGTAACTCTTTATTCCCTTTCTGGATTTTAATTAATAGTGGAGATTTTTCTTGTCTAAGTTAAAGGATAGGCTAGGAAATAATAAAATATTTTTATATATAAAATATTATATTTTATAAATTTCTTTTTCGAAAAATATTTTTTTATAATCTACTATTACTCCTATCAATCAAGGTGCTTATTGCCAGGATGACTTTTTTAAAATATCTAATACAGGACATGATCTTTTCAAAACTTGTTTATATGGTCTTCATCTAGATTTGTTAGTTGAAGAAGATTGACTTCCAGAAGATTTAGTAGTTATACAACGAATTAACTATAAAGCACAAGAAAAATTTTATATTGTAATTTTCATTGGCAGATACAATTATTAAATTGCATATTTTTTATGTAAGGTTTTACCAAGAATATTAAATTTTAAATATTATAAATAAATAATATCAACTGATTTAAAAATATACTGAGCAGTTTTATTATGTTAAATATTTCAATATATCGTTTGAGGGCGTAGATTATTAATCATAAAAAAATTTTCAGAAAATTATGAACTACCATTTAATTTAATTTTTTAATTATAAAACCTATTTATATTAATTACTTAAATTTTATACCATCTTGTAGTTAATCTTTATAGGGTTTTAATAAGTAAAAATATTTATTTAAATTTTATTTTTATTGAAATTTTAAAATGTACACAAATAAAAAAATCGTCCGTCAGAAATCGATATTATATGAAGTATAATAATATATCGTCGGTCTAGAATTAGAGTGCTCCACTCGACATTTTCTAAATTTTTGAGTTAGAAGTGGATAATAACTTTTATTCCCAATATATATAAAAATAAAAACTAGATTAAAAAATATTAATTTTTGCTAAAGTTATAGCTGTCAAAATTGATCAATAAGCTTTTCCTATATTTGATTTTAAACTTTAATGTTGATTTCTCATTTAAAACATTTGCGCATATGGAGCACTCCAATTCTAGGCCGACGATATTACAAAATGTTGTAAAATCATATATAGTATATAAAACGTCATATACAAAGGTAACAGATGTAGGGAAAGTGAAATGGAGCGTGGGGTATGATTGTCGTAGATGTCGTTTGTAGCGATTTTGGGAAGCTTGTGCAAGCTGAGCAAAATTATGTGAGTAAACCACGTCAACAAATGAAAATTGAGCCTTGAAATATAAAGGAAAAATAACATCAAAAATAAAAGTCTAATGTAAAAAATATGGCAAATAAGATGAATTAAACAACCTAGGTTTAAATAAGAATCCAATCAAAATTTTAAAATTTTTATTAGTTTATAATATATAATACCTATTTTAAATCATAATTCAAAATTTGAAAATAGCGCTTAAGTGAAACACTACGCTCTAATACTCAAGCAACGATGTGACACTAAACTTACAAAAAATTTCTTGAGTTCTTCTAGCTGAGAAACACATTCCTGGACCGCCGATTTGGAACCCCTAATTTTGATGAGTTCCTCCATACTCCCATTTGTCTCATTCTGTGCGAGGGAATTTTTGCGGACTGGGAGGCTTATAATTACCTCTTCGGCAAACCTATCGCGCAATTCTTTTATTTTCTTGCCATTTGAGCCTATAAGGAGCGACATGTACCTCGATTCCATGGGAATTTCAACGGATAATTCATTTTCCTTTTTTTAAAAAAATAATTTAGGGAAAGTAGAAAAATAGGGCTGAGCCGATCCACATATTTTTCACCGATCCAGTCCGATATTGGTTCAAACCCGACCCGATACCGATATTTATACTGATTTTTCACCACTCCTCTTTGAGCCAAATGTAATTAAGAAATCTATATTTTTTATGCAAAAAATCGAATTATGCATTTAATTTAATTTTTTATTTCTACAATTAAGACTATAATTAATAAAAAATTATTATAATAGATAAAAAAATATTATAATAATGTAAAATAAATATACATAATATAATATAACAAAAAAAAAGAAAAGTAAAAAGATCGAATCGGTTTCTTACAGGTATCGGACTGATCCGATATTTTTGGAAAACGTTAAATATCGGTGCTGATCCGATCCGATTAATATCGGCACAGCCCTATTAAAAATGATAAATTACTTATATGGTTTAATGAAATCTTAAAATTCAGACATGCAATAACCTGTAGGGCACCGCTAGATATTTTCGGCGATTCCAAGATGCCAATTCAAAAATTATCGGCGGAGGCAGAAAATTTCATTTATACATTATAAAATTTTAAATGGAATAAATTATATTAATATATATGTCGTATTGGGATACGGAATCATGTGGGATTCGGAATCCCAACGTGGGGATTCGAGATCTTGAATCCCCATGTATATTTTTTTTAAACTTTTAAATTATATTTTTTCTTCCTTTTTTTGGCGTCTGGCTGGCACCAGAAAATTTCATTTTTTAGAGATATTTTATTTTCTGTTTTTGTAAATTTAAATATAATAAAATCATAAATATTTTCACCTGAATATATATTTTTAAAAAATCCGAATTATAAAAGTTATTTATTGCAACTCATTTTGCAATTGCACAATAATGTTTCCCCATAGTTTGTGACAGAGAAGCTCCTAAATATTTTTAACAGCTTAAATAAAAAATTAATATATTTTATATACATCAATTAATTAGAGGAGTATATGTGGTTACTATAAAAATAACTTATATTATCTATGATTGATATATCTTTGTTGGGAACTTAAAAGATTAGAGGCAATAAATGGTGATGAAATTCTTCCAGCACACGTTCCTACCCATTATTTTATTTTGTTTAATTTTTAATACATTCCCTTCTAAATTTACAGATATTAGTTCTATCTGTCCAATGGATAGATATTAACATGTGATCACCTAATAAAGTTATTTTGTCCAATTATTTGTGAATAAATTAAGTTTTAACGCTCACGATCATTTAAAAAATAAAAGAAGGGCCCTTTTTAAAATATTAGAAATACTATTCCCGTATTGTTAGCATAACTATTTTTTCATGTATAAATTATCATAAATTTATTTTTAATATGAATTAAGAATCGTATTGGGCGTGATTTTTTTTTCATAAAATTTCTAAATAACATTTTGAAAATTTATTTCTGTCTTTGTGAATTTATATTAATACAATTATTTTATTTTTAATTTTAATTTAATTTTTTTTTAATGCCTCAATTTTCTTTACCAAGCAAATACAGAATATAATTTATTTAAAATCACATTAAAAACACCCAAATACAAATCTATTCAAAATATACCGTCAAAATTAAAATTTAAAGTATTTTCATACTTATATACTTAGAAAACGAATCTTTATTTTGTAAAAAAACAGTTATTATAATATCCAATATTCATTCAATATTAAAGGTTCATCATAATGACAATAATCATCCTAGTGTTAATACAACGATTAAAAATATTGAAACAATATCGCATGATAGAATATATCCAAAAATTTTCAATATTCACGATTTAAAAAAATTTTCCAGGCTGAGTTTAGGGCGATCTATTTTTTATTTAAAAAATCAGTAAAAGCTAAATAATTTTAATATAAATAAATATAGATAGCGATTTTTCTTGATAATATGGAAATGAAGATTATATTTTTAACGATTAGGGAAAGAGGGGGATCACATGTTATTATAATTTCATAGGACAGATTGAACTAATATCTGTCCTAAAAATTTAGAAGGTGAACAAAAAAAAATATGGGTAGGAACGTGTGCTAGAATTTCAACAAAATTTATTGCCTCTAATCTATATAAAACTATAAAATTAAATGATTTTAAGTCCCAACAAAGATATATAATTTATTTTTATAGTAACCACATATACTCCTCAAATTAATTGACGTACATAAAATTAATTAATTATTTATTTAAACTGCTAAAAATATTTAGGAGCTTTTCTGTCACAAACTATGGGAAAACATTATTGTGAAATTGCAAAATGAGTTGCAATGAATAATTTTTTATAATTCGGATTTTTTAAAAATATATATTCAGGTGAAAATATTTATGATTTTATTTTATATAAATTTACAAAAACAGAAAATAAAATATCTCTAAAAAATGAAATTTTCTGGTGCCAGCCTGATGGCAAAAAAAGGACGAAAAAAATATAATTTAAAAGTTTTAAAAAATATACATGGGGATTCGGAATATTTTTTAAAAAAAATTCCGAATAAAAAGTGGGGATTCAAGATCTCGAATCCCTACGTTGGGATTCCAAATCCCACATGATTCCGTATCCCAATAAGACCGTATCAGGTCAATTCAGCGAAACTTTTATCGCGAAACACTTTTTCGCGAATGTCGTTTATCGCGAAAAGTTTTTATAGCTAAGGTAAAATCGCGAAACCAATTCTGTGAATTTATATCTGCGAAACAATTATAGCGGACAATTTCGCGAAGCCATTGTCGCTAATTTATTTCCGCGAAACCTTAACCGCGAATTTATTAGAGCTAATATATTTTAGCGAAACATTTTACGCGAACACTTTACAGCGAATTATTTATCGCGAAACATTTATAGCGAAAACAATTTCGCGAAGCCATTGTCGCGAATTTATTAGAGCGAATGCATTTTAGCGAAACATTTTACGCGAACACTTTACAGCGAATTTTTTATCGCGAATATGTTTGCTCAAAGTCATTATCACGAGCGCAACACCACTAAACAATAAATATATTGTGAATGCATTTATTTAAAAGAAAACAACATATTATTTATTATTTGATGTTTTTTTAATAAAAAATGATATGCTACTATTGTAATATTATTTTTGTTACAATTTATTAGTGATTTTCACGCCCAAAATTTTAAGTAAAAAATATTTCCTGAAGTTCAAAAAGATTTTTGAACATATTATGATAAAAATTTTAAATCTTCTTTGTAAATATATCTTTTTATGAGGAATTCTTTTGTGAAATTTATTATAAATATACAATTTTTAGGTGAAATCTTTTATAGTTTTTTTTATCATTTTTGTAAAATTATCTATTTCTTAAGTATATTAAAAGAGGTGGGTTTTCTAAATAATTTTTCTTAAAATATTTATATTTAACTTATTTATGTTATTTTATGATCTTTTTAAGGATAATATTTTAATGTGACAATTGTCATATTCGTTATTTTTAAGATTTTTTTACTCAAAAGGGTAAAAATATAATTTGTATTGTAAAGATGTTAAATTATAAATTCAAGGAAGATGTTCCTTGGAAATATGGCAATTATCATAATCGGTATTTTTAAACATATTAGATTTTTTTAACGCTAATGGGCAAAAATATGTATTTTTAACATGTTAAATTATAATTTCAATTAGGATGTACCATATAAAAGCGACAATTGTCATAATCATTATTTTTGAAGTTTTTTACAATTTTTTGACATAAATGGGCAAAAATATAAGTTGTTACATGTTAAAATAAAATTTCAGTAAAGATGTACCATAGATATAAGTTACAATTATCATAATCGTTGTTTATAAAGTTTTTTGAATTTTTTTGTTAAAAATGGGTAAAAAAATTTAGATTGCAAACATGCTAAATTAAAATCTCATGAAGATCTACCATTGAAAAGTGACAATAGTCATAATCGTTATTTTTAAAGTTTATTAACCAAAATGAGTTAAAATAAGTATTGCTAGTATGTTTAAATAAAACTTCAGTGAAGATGTACCCTAGATAAGTGACAATTATCATAATCCTTATTTTTAAACTCTTTAACGTTAAATGGGTAAAAATATAGATTGTAAACATGTAAAATTAAAATTTCATGAAGATGTACCATAGAAAAGCGATAATTGTCATAATCGTTATTTTATAACTTTTTTGAATTTTTTTGACGTAAATGGGCTAAAATAAATATTGCTAACATGTTTAAATAAAATTTCAGTGAAGATGTACCATAGATAAGTTACAATTGCCATAATCGTTGTTTATTTTGAATTCTTTTGTTGTAAATGGGTAAAAGTATAGATTGTAAACATGCTAAATTAAAATTTAATGAAAATGTACCATTGAAAAGTGACAATTGTCATAATCATTATTTTTAAAGTTTTTTTACAATTTTTTGACGTAAATGGGGAAAAATATAAGTTGTTACAGATCTTAAGGCAAAGTGGATATATTGACAAGAAGACCATGATGCTATCGTTAATCGTTGACAAATTATAGCCAATTGCTTATCAAAAATTTATTATAAGATAAAAAATCGAACAAGAAGTCGTGGAAACCATCGTTACTCGCAGACAAATTATCGTCAGTGGTTTACCGTCATTAGTTACTAGAAACCGTTAGAAACAAGCAAAGACTAGGATAATGTGGGAGTAAAACGAGATATAATTAAAAGAGCTAGAAGAATGTATCGGGAACCATGCCTTACTCGCAGAATGGTGGGACTAATCTAAGTGGAAGGGTGTTGTAATTGTTAAACCAAATTACAAAGCCGAAGGATATTCAAATCTACTCAAGAAAAAAGAATTAAATTTCGAATGCAAATGATTTAAAGAAAGATGAATAAAAAAGAATGATTATTCAAATTAAAGAAAGTTCAAGATTTTTTTCAGTTTGTTTGTAAAGCATTATGTAAATGAATTATAGAAAAGTATATATATATTCGAGGATATTTGTATAGATAGAGATCATGA